AGTGTGTGTATTCATTCATTCAACCATTTATTAAGTTTATAGTATGTGCCAGATACCGGGTGGGACTTGGAAAACAGTAGAAATGAGACACTATAGATAGGAAGATAATGTATATAAAATGTGCAACTGTGAAGAAGCAAATACAAAATACAAAAATAGCCCAAAGGAGATTATGGTCAAATCTCTATGGATCTTGAACAAGGTTGTTGAGAAAGACTTTTTTTTGAAAGAAGTAGCATGTGATCTTGAAAACTGAATAAACCAAACCAAACCTGTGACCAATGATGAGCCCTCCAGGATTTGTTCTAAGAGAAAACTGGGTTGGAACTGATATTCTACTGACCTCCACATGCATATCAGAAGCTACTGTCCTACAGGTGAAGGGAAGTATGTATGAACAGGGAAGGCATTTGAATTTCAAAAGCATGTGAAATTTCTGAACTTTTTAAAAGAGAAAATACAAACAGCAGTCACAATTTCCTGGTATCTTTGCTCTATCTAATTCAGAATGTTCAATCCATACCAATTCCACTACTACTACATCCATCAAACATCTATAAGAACTCCTAGTGTCTTTTGGGGGGTTGGGGGGGATTGAACCCAGGGGTGTTTCACCACGGAGCCACATCCCAAGCCTTTTTAATTTTCATTTTGAGACACATCTCATTAAGTTGTTTTGAGCCTCGCAAAATTGCTGAGGCTGGCCTCAAACTTGTGATCCTATTGCCTTAGCCTCCTGAGTCACTGGAATTATAGACATGAGCCATGGTGCCCAGACCATACTATCTTATATAGACTTAAAAAAAAAGTATATTTTCAGTAGCATCTCTGGTACCAAGAGATTCAGAGTATCATCACATAATAGTGAACCACATTTCTCTGGGAGTCACCAGTGTAGCCCTCATGTAATCAAAATTACAAGGAGTGCTGTTTAGTTCCCAAAAGGGAGAAGACTCAAAAAGCAACAGTGCTGTGGTTCCTTTTTTTTTTTTTTTTTTTGAACATAGATTCTAGGGAAATGCTGACTGTAGATTCACTCTTTCTCTTTCCTTTCTTCCTTCCTTCCTTCCTTCCTTCCTTCCTTCCTTCCTTCCTTCCTTCCTTCCACCCTCTTTGCATTGTTCTCCATAGAATTCAGATGATCCTAATAGGGATCTGAACAAATGATGGACAACATGTTGAGTTCAAGGTTGTTTGTGAACTTCACTGGCTGGTTCCCTTAGTACCACATACCCATTCTTTTTATTCCTCTCAGGACAAGCAATTCTAAAATGTAAATGTGGTCAGGCATGGTGGTGCATGCTTGTAATTCCAGCAGCTCAGGAGACCAAGACAGGAGGATCACAAGTTCAAGACCAGCCTCAACTGTTTAGAAAGGACCCAAGCAACTTAGTGAGACCCCACCCCCCTCAATCACAAAAAAAAAAAAAAAAAAAAAAAAAGCTGGGGTTATGGCTCAGTGGTAAAGTGACCTTGGGTTAAATCGCAAGTAACAAAAAAATCGAATAAAAAATAAATGCAGGGCTGGGATGTGGCTCAAGCGGTAGCACGCTCGCCTGGCATGCATGGGGCACTAGGTTCGATCCTTAGCACCACATAAAAATAAAATAAAGATGTTGTGTCCACCAAAAACTAAAAAATAAATATTAAAAAATTCTCTCTCTCAAACAAATAAAATAAAAAATAAATGCATGGAATATACACTCACTCCTCCAGTTTTCAAGACAAATGACATCATGTTTGCACATGATTGCATCTCATCCAGAACTTCTCTATGCTTATAAAATTTTACAGAGATACAGAGTAGCATGGGTTAATAATTCAATATAATTAGAATATAAAATAATTGAAGGGTGAGTAAGGGGACAGAAAGGGATGGTAGTTGCAAGAAGTAGAATCTTTTCACTAAAAAGGACTCATTCACAAATGTTAAAACTCTTACATTTACCTTGAGAACAATAACAAGCAATTTCTATTTTTTATAAATAAAATTGGATTCAGAGGATAGCTAGGGATGGGGGAAAGGGGAGATTAATCTAAAAGAAGAGAACCCTTTATCTGCCACCTATCTTACTATTAGACAGAGGTTACTAACAGGATCTGGGCCAATATTGATAAAATCCTTTCAATTTCTCTTAGAAAATAATGTTCTCTAAAATAAAACAAGATAGAAAAGGCAGTGCTTCTCACTTAATCTGATTTTTAAATATAATACTGAATTTAATCTCTATTCTTACAAAGAACAATAAGTCTGACTTTCAATGGATATAATTCATGAGTTCCTCATCAATTTTTAAGAAAAATGACTATACATTCCAAAGATGATATGTGAGAATTCAATATACAGAAAGCCACTATTGAACATAAATAGTTGAATTACTTTCTTGAATGCAATTGAAATAATCTTTCTATATATATTAGTTCAGCATACTTCCTAAGATGTCTTTAAATGACTGATGGCTTATTTTACATGTTGTAAAAATAAAACTTTGTTGTAAAAATAAAACTTAATATTTTCATATATTCAGGTAAGAAATAGCATTAATAATTGCACCTTGGGCAAATAACATTAATAATTTCATGCTGTGATAATATTTTTGAGCCTACATATAAGAAAAGGATGGATTTCAGGGCATTCTCCATATGACTAAAAGGCACTGTGCCTCCTTGTGAAGTTGAAAGGTTTCCTAAGATTTGTAACTACCACATCTTAACTTCTCTTGTCACTCAGTTCCTGGAACTAACTTAACCAAAGGGTTAAGAAACAGTCTATTGCTTAATTGCTTAGCATATGTGAGGTCATTGGTTCAATATCCCCAGCACCAATAAAAGAAAAAAAGAAAGGAAGAAAAAAGAAAAAAAAGGTCTATTCCTAAACAAATAACCCTATACAAGTAGAAAACAGTAAATAGTAATATCAGGGAAAAAAATAGAATAAGAAAGGGAAAAAAAGTATTTTTGAAATTTCTTGTTTTATGAGTAGAAATTTTTGATTTTTGCCGTGTCTTCACAAGTTTTTCTGTTCAAACCTCTCACTCCCTATTGCCACCTCCTTTATATGTTTCTGATTGTTTGTTTTTGTTACAATATAATATATTAATGATGACATGAGAAAGTGTTTGTGATAAAATGAGATGAGTAGTTTCCTGTGGCTGTCATAATAAGTTACCACAAATTGAGTGACCAAAAACAATAGAATTTTTTTTCTCTCACAGTTGGGGAAGCCAGAAGTCAGAAATTGAGGTGTATTGGGATTTCACTCCCCTTGGGAGTCTCCAGGGTTATTGCATTCTTTCCCTCTCAGCTTCCTGTGGCTGTCCTTATTTACATACAACTCTAGTCTCTAACTCACATTGCTTCCTCTTTTGTGTTTTGTGTCTCTAGTCCTTAGTTTTAGGGTCCACCTGGAATACTGAGGATGACTTTTTTCATCTTGAGATCCCTAATTTAATTACAGTTGGAAAGACCCTTTTTCCAATAAGATAACATTTGCAAACTCCAGGAATTAGGGCCTGAATTTATCTTATGGGAGCCAACATTTAACCCACTACAAAATGTCATGACAAGCAAGTGAAAAATACTTGATAGGAAATACATATATTTATATGTTACAAATGCTAGTAGAATCACCATTACTTCTCTTCTTAAATTTTTTATTTGTTCTTTTTAGTCACACATCACAATAGAATGTATTTTGACATATTATATGTAAATGGAATATAACTTCCTTTTTGTAGTTGTAATGATATGGAGTTAACACTGGATGTGTATTCATACATGAACACAGGAAAATTATTTCTTTGCTATTCCCATCCTCCTCCCTTCCCTTCATTCCCCTTTGTCTAATTCAGTGAAGTCCTGTTCTCCACATCTGCCTCCACTTATTATGAGTTAGCATCCAAATATCAGAGAGAACATACAGCCTTTGGTTTGGGGGAATTGGCTTATTTAACTTAGTATGATAGCCTCCAGTTGCGTCCATTTACCAGGAAATGCCTTAAATTCATTCTTCGTTATGGCTGAGTAATATTCCATTGTGTATGTATGCCACATTTTCTTTATCCATTCACCCAAGTTGGTTCCATAGTTAGCTATTGTGATGTGAGCTGCTATAAACATTGACGTGGCCACATCACTATAGTATGTTGATATTAAGTTCTTTGGGTATAGACCCAGGAGTGGGATAGCTGGGTCAAATGATGGTTTCATTCCAAGGTTTTTGAGGAGTCTCCATATTGTTTCCAGAGTGGTTGCACCAATTTGCAGTCCCACCAGCAATGTATGAGTATAACTTTTTCCTCACATCCTCTCCAACATTTATTGTTACTTATATTCTGGATAATTGCCATTCTGACTGGAGTGAGATGGATTCTCAGTATAGTTTTAATTTGCATTTCTCTAATTCCTAGGGATGTCAAACATTTTTTCATGTATTTGTTGACTAATCATATTTTGTCTTTTGTGAAGTGCTTGTTCAGTTCCTTTGTCTATTCATTGACTGGTTTATTTGTTTCATTGGTGATAACTTTTTTGAGTTCTTTGTATATCCTGGAGATTAATGGTGATGTTCCTCACAGAAATAGAAAAAGCAGTAATGAAATTCATTTGGAAACAATAAGAGGTCTATAATAAAAATAAGAGGTCTATAATTGCCAAAGTAATCCTTAGTGAGAAAAATAATACAGAAGGTATCACCATACCAGAGCTATACTACAGAGCTATAGTAGCAAAAATGGTATAGTATAGTAGCAAAAATGCTACAGTAGCTAAAATGGCATGGTATTGGCACAAAAATAGCATTGAATTGAAGACCAATGGAACAAAACAGAAGACACAGATACATGCTCATATAAATACAGTTATCTCTTACAAGGCAAAGGCACCATAAACATAAATTGGTGAAAAAGATAGCCCCTTCAACAAATGGTGCTAGGAAAACTGGAAATCTATATGTAGTAGATTGGAATTGAACCCCTATATTGCACCTACACAAAACTCACCTCAAAGTGGATCAAGGACCTTGGCATTAGACCTTGTGCCTACTAGAAGAAAAAGTAGGCTCAACTCTCCATCATATTGGCTCAGGAACAGACCTCCTCAATAAGACTCCTAAAGCACAAGAAGTAAAATCAAAAAATCAATAAATGGTATGGCATCAACCTAAAGAGCTTCTTCACAGCAAAGGAAACATCAAGAACATGAACAGAGAGTCTATAGAATGGGAGAAAATCTTTGCCACCTGCACTACAAGTCCCCTTTTAAAGTCAAATATTATATTTTCCACAAAAAATGAAGCAATATATGAACAGATATCTTTAAATTTAAAGTGGTCATTTAAATCACTTTAAGATATAGAATTACAAACTCCAATAAGATACTATTAATGTTACTTCTAAGACATTATAAGCTCTGTAAATTTGAATCACACATGTTGTTACATCTAAGAGGATAAGAGTAGACTTAGTATTAGACAGCAAATTCTACTAGAGTAATAATTAATACCAGTTCCCTTACTAATGGATAATCAGGAACAATGTTCATACCTGAAAGTGTACATGCAGATATCCTTTAAATATTGTATTAGTTTTCACACTGAACAAATATCAATTGCAATGTCAGTATTACCATCTAGAGATATTCTCACTTACATAATAATGTTTTGCCTACCTTAAAAAAGAATTGGGTAATCCTTGTGCCACCAGTCTGATCACATGGCAAAAAGAATATACTGACAATAACAAAATAATCATTTAAAGCTGTTCTTCAATAGCTCACTTTGGCATATAAGGTATACAATATACTTCCTAAGAATAAACTAGTAGCATAATCTGCTTTATGTTTTTATCAAAAGGAAATGGCATTCTAAGATACAGCTGCATAGACTATATGATGAATATTCAACACATGAGAAACTGACAAATTTATCTTTACTCCATCATTAAGCATTTTTGTGACAAGCTGGGTATTCATCCAATTAGGGGTCTTTTTTCTGTGTGTTCTTTTTGTCTAGTGCTTGTTCATGCCCTTTCTTGACGTCCTGCAAGACTAGCCTTTTCTTTTCTTCTCAAAATTTCTGATTACCCATATTGTTAGAAACTCATACTCAGAGAACTCTTTGCAGATAGGAAGACAAGACCTTAGTCAAAACTTCATTCCACTATCAGAAGCTTGGTTTTTCCTTGACCAATCAAAAAAATTTGTAAGATATGTAAGTTTTCCATTGGTAAATATATGTATATGTGTGTGTATACACACACACACACACATATTTAATTACTGTTGTTCACGAAGAATTCTGCCTCCTCTATACATTCATATTGCTCCTTGTTTAGAGAAATTTAAGTCCTTATTTTTTAACAGAATGTACAACTTCAAAAATTTCATATTCTCAAATCATTTTCATACATCTTTTACTGCTGTGTACAAGACAAAACATTTGATGGTGGGGGAGTCTTCTACTAGGTTTTGATAATACATAAAATAATATTCACCTAAAAGTTCATTAAACTCAGTCTGCAAAATAGATTACTGGCATTGAGCTAGAAAATAATACCGATAATAGGACTAAAGTGATCTCCAGAATCCTTATTATACTATATTAACTAAGAAGTTTACTCTGAAATTTTATTCATAAATTTTTGAAGTTTGGAAAACTTGTACATTAAACAATTCCATAGCTCCTTTTCAAAAATTCACAATAAAAATACTTTTCCATGTGAGGAAAAAAATCCATATGAAAGTACATCAATTAAGAGCAAGCTTAGCTCCTTTTTCATTTATTATGTATTCAGTGTCTTCTTTATGTATCTTACTGCCCCAGAGTTCATGACCAAACATCAATACATGTTAACACGTTTTCAATATTTATAAGCTAAAGGCTTAGATCCAAGAATTATCAAAAATTGTCCTGCTACTCCAGTTATACTCACCAGCATCTCAATTATAATGCCTATCAAGAGGCATCTTCAAGAATTTAGACGTGCAACAGTTTTCAAAAATTCAGTTTAAATCTGATTTACTCTTAGAATTGTCAAATGTTTCACTATCACTTCTCTCTCTTGAAATGCTTTCTCTAAAAGGAGTTTTGTTTGCTGCATAACAGAGTGCATAAATACCAAACTCAAAATTATTCTTGCATAGTGCTCATACCAAAATTAAATAGAAAATAGCTTTGCCTACTAATATAAATAGCAGTGACTGGCAAATAAGATAGACAAATATCAGAAATTCAAATTGTGTCAACAAAGATGAGTGAGAAATGGTACATGTTTTATTTACCAGCAACAAAACTTATCCTATTTTACTCAACATCAAATGTAAACTACTTACTTTGTAAAAATGAACGCAAGGGGTCTAAGTAGAGTATTTTAGCAAATGCCACTAATTTCCTATTAACAATGCACAGGCACAGAAAGAAGTAACATAAAAATCCTTCTGTCTATATATATGGAAAATGAATGTCATATTCATTTTTGTACTATGTCTAATTAAAATTTTATTTGTAAGATAATTTCAATACAGGATTACTGTCTTGATAGAGGACAGATTTCTACTTTAAAAGTACTGTTAAAATAAAACTTCCAATTAATGATTTAATAATTTTAAACCAGGATTGGAAGAATGAATTCTGGCTTGAAAACATTCATTTATTTTTAATTTTAACATGATATTTTTAAATCTTTAAAAGAATCTTTTAAAAATGCTAGATTATATTATTAGAGCAGAAATTATTTTACTATAAAATCTGTTTGATTCATGTTCCTAATAGATAGATCTTTGATCAATTAAAATTTCTCTAACTAGAAACTGAAGTGAGCACCTGAATCCTGATGTGTGTTCATGTCCAAATTGGAAGAGTCATCCCCATTCAAAAATTACCCCTTGTTCAATATAAGATGCTGCCATGATGACAACGTATCAGCAGCAAGCATGCCTCAAATGATTACTCCGTTTTTACAGTATTTCAGATATTCAGTTGATTGCCAGAATCAGAAAATCACAACTCCAGGTCAGTGTTTTTATGTTTTATTCCACCTAACGTTCATCTACCCAGCACACATCCTAGTCTGATCTCCAAATGAAGTATATTCTCTAAAACAACAAATATATGTAATGTATCCCTAAACAAAACAAGGTTGAGTAAGGTTGCTGCTAGCTTGACAATGTTGTCGAAGCTGTGATTCAAATTAGGGAAATAAGCTGGAGGTGGTTATGAAATGAGTTTCAAACTACAGGTTTTTGTTCATTCACCACAGAAAGGAAAGGATTCCCCTTCTCTGCTATGTTCTCTTTCTCTCTGTCTCTCATTCTCTCTCATTCTCTCTTTCTTTCTTTCTCTCTCTACCCTTCCTTACTCTTTTTTCTGGGTGACTGAGTATCAAATACATGTATACAAGATGCTTTTAATCCTCAGGATATTTTAATAGTTGATCTCCCTATTATTATGTATATCACTTAAGAATAATCAAATAATTCAACTTCACACTTACCCCATTGTTTCATATGTCCAACAAAAAAGAAAGAAACAAAATGTTTTATTAAATATGATGCTTTATTTTTGCCTCAAAAAGACAAAAACAGAAGTCTGTGTACTAAAGCTCATACTGTTATGTTATTTTTTTTAAATATCACTCAGTGACAATTCCACTTACAACAGAATTCTAGGTTTAGATATGATTTTGTGTAGTCAAAATTAGATTAAAAACAACAAACTAGAGAAGGGGAGAAACACCTATTTTCAATGTATCTTCATTGTGAGAGAGTGAGTGAGAGATATAAATCTTTAATATGTGATTCCCCAACTCGATAGATAGATAGAAAAATAGATAGATAGATAGACAGACAGACAGATAGACAGATAGATAGATAGATAGATAGATAAAGAGAAAGAGAAAGATATAAGTGTAATAAATCAGATTAAACCATTTGTAAGTGATGGAACATGATCACTGAATACTATACAATAGGTACTCATAAAAATTTTTAAATTTATTTTAACTGATACATAAAAACATAAAATTGTAGGCTGGGGTTGTGGCTCAGTGGTAGAGTGCTTGCTTAGCATGTGTGAGGCACTGGGTTCAATCCTCAGCACCACATAAAAATAGATAAAATAAATGTATTCTGTGTGTCCATCAACGACTATTTTAAAAATAACATAAAATTGCGCAAATTAATGGGGTACCATAGAATGTTTTGATATATGTGTACATTGCATAATGTTTAAATAAAATTAAACATATCTGTCTCCTCAAATATTTACCATGTGATCTCAGAAATTTCTGAGACATTGGGTTGTCTCCAGCCATTCATGGGCTGTGTATGTGAGCTATGCACATTTGAGCATATTAGGGGACTGTTTGGCATTACGCACTGTTTGGGCTGTGAGAAGCAAGTGTGCCTTTCCTCTAGCTCTGCCTGTGATCCCACAAAGCACCTGAGATGGGTGTGATTTGCCAAGATGTCAATCAATCTGCTGACCACAAGACATCACCAAGCAAGACTCCACCCTTTGAAACCCTACCCCTTGCCTTATTTGGGTGGAATATTCTATCCAATGTCTTTTCCCCAATAAATAGGGGGATTCTGGGTTCTCTCTCTCTCTCTCTCTCTCTCTCTCTCTCTCTCTCTCTCTCTCTCTCTCCAATGCTGCTCAGTGCGTAGCTGACCCTTGGGATCACTAAGCAGTCCGGCCCTTGATCTTAGAAACTCATTTTCGTGCGTTGCATGATTTCTTCACCGTTTTCTTAGTTATTGCTGCATCCAGCTCCTTTAAACTCAGCTCATCAAGCTACCCCAATCATCTGGCGATATTGGGTAATTTTTTTCTTAGGGTAAAGGACCACTCTGATTCTTTGTTATTGATATATCCATTTCTATATGTAGATATACATAGATAGACATCTCTCAATATCTCTCTAGATATATAGAGAGCAATAAATTTAGATATAGACAGATATATCTCAATCTACATAGATACATAAATTTTAAAATTCTTGTGAGTACCTGATATTTTGTATTCGGTGATCATATTCCATCACTTACAAATGATTTAATCTGACTTATTATACTTGATATAGGGACAAATATCAGTGACTTTTAGACGAAAATTTCTCTATAGAATAGTTTAAAACTATTGTCTAATAATAAAGCCAAATTTTTGTTCTTAGAAAATGTATTTATTAATAATATTGTATTCACTAGTATGGCAATATGTAAATCAATGGATGTGTAACTGATGTGATTCTGCAATCTGTATATGGGGTAAAAATGGGAGCTCATAACCCACTTGAATCAAATTGTGAAATATGATATATCAAGAACTATGTAATGTTTTGAACAGCCAACAATAAAAAATTAAAAAAAAAAAAAAAAAAAAAAAAAATAATAATAATATTGTATTCATTGATGATAGCTATATATTAATTAGGATATGAACTTAATGTATTTGTTTAGCATATACTTAAATACATGAGTATTTACTCATATGCACACACTTTGCATTGTGGGTTATTCTTAAAGTCTAAGGAGAAAAGGATATATTAATAGTTTTATGCCTACCTAGGACAATAGAAAAGGAATCCATGTCAAGCAAGTAACCAGTCTAATTAGTGAACCCCAAACCAAGGAAGTTGGGCTGCTGTTGATGTAAAAAATAACAAGGGAGGAATGACATGAAAATAAAAGGAACAATGTAATAACTGAGCTGAATTGTGACAGAAAAAAGCAATGACATACTACAAAAAGGGAAGATCCATGTGGATGAAATCCATATCATACAAAAGAAGACACAAAAGAAGATTGGGGGAAAGGGAGAAGGTTCAAATACATTAAGATGTAAGGAAAGAAAAAGCAGGCCCTCCCTTCTCAAATGCAAGGCTTCAGGTTTCCTAGAAAAGAGAACTTACTAGGAAAGGATTGTTAACATTCTGACCCAAGGGTCAGCCTTCAGGCTTCCTCTAGGAAAAAGAAAATTATGCAAATGAATAGTCTAACCAATAAAGTAAAACATTCTGTATTTCTGTTGAAAACTACATAACTGTAAGTATGACTACTATGGCTTTAGGAATAATAGTTTTTTTTTTAAAAAAAAACTATCTACTATGAAATGATAGGTTCAAAATAATTCTGTCATAAGTTTAGAAGTTGTTTTATAAAATTGAAAGATGATTAAAGTATTTTCCTTAATCTTTCTCCCAACTCTAAAAATTTCTTTCCTTTCCTTTTGTCCTTTGTGTGGAGGACAAAGCCTATCAAGATTCATGCCTGCAACACAAACACAACCATAGGCTTTCTCTAGGTCCCAACCCAACTGTAGATCCATCATTTCAAATGACAATTCCATAGGAAATCAATATTTTGAAAGGAAGATTGCTTCAACTTGTGCAGTGTGGACTGTGGAGGCAGTCGGTGAATTCAAGAAAGCAGATCTATTTGTATCTGCTGCTCATTCTAGCAGGATTGATTGCAGGTAACTTCCTCAGAGAGGAGGTAAAAGAGCTATTCATTTTTTTTTTCCAACTTGTCCCTCTATTCTGAACTTAATAACAATAGTCCTAAATTTTAAATAGCAGCAGGACATAAACAAACACTCTGCCCACTCAAAATACTAAATAATAATTTCACTTGTTCCTTAAAGATTGATGTTCTTTCTATTCAATATCTTTTCTTTCTATTCAATATCTTTTCTTTCTATTCAATAGCTCTTTTTATATTTTGTGTTACTAATAGTGGCTGTGATTCATGGACTTTACATCACAGAATATGCCATCTGAAAAAGTACTAATTCCCCAACTCATGAAACTCCCTTAAATATTGTATTCGAATGCAATTGTACTCAAACACAATATAAAAATCTTAAAAATTTTAAACTTGATTATTTTTTCTGCTTTCAGTATTTTAAATCAATTTTACATATTTTATCATTCTTTTACATTAATTTATGTTTTTCTCAGTATATTTAATGCATGATAATTAAAGAAAGAAATTAAAGTTCAGAAAGAAGAAAATATGACCACCATATTCCATCTCCCAAAGGTAGACATATCTTGATCTATTTCTTCTTATATTTTTCTTTTTTTTTTAAAGAGAAAGAGGGAGGAGATAGAGAGAACATGTTTTTTTTAATATTTATTTTTCAGTTTTTCAGTGGATACAACATCTTCATTTTATTTTTATGTGTTGCTGAGGATCGAACCCAGCGCCCTGCGCATGCCAGGCGAGCGCGTTACCACTTGAGCCACATCCCCAGCCCCTTCTTATATTTTTCTATGCAATTATTTTTATATATTTAATTTCATATTGAGGATACAATTTCATATGTCCTTAATAAAACCTTTAAAGCACAAACATTCTCCATATTCTTGGGCACTGATCATTAGTATCATATTTCAGGGGTTAATAATAATTTATTTTATACAAGTATCATAATCTATTTCATCAAATTATGTTAATATTTAAGTTTTATCAAATGTAGTATTTTGTTACTAGACACAATTCTGAGATAAACACTAACATGTAGTTCAAAAATCTTTGACACATATTGATAAATCACTTTCTAAAAGAGTTAAGCACTTTTTCTTAAGATAAATATTTTTTTCAAATAAACCTCACTTTGCCCATACCTGAAGTAGATCATCAGAACTATCCAGATACCTTCATGTCAGTGTATAAAATATGTCTTCCCTAAGAAGAGAAAAATAGAGAATGATACTATATTACTGAGTGAATTGGCCAAATAGCAAAGTAACAATCAGTTTAATCTTCAAAAGTTTGTTTTATAGCACAAGTCATTAAGACTCCTTAAGACCAAGGCCTAATAGTGATTCCACAGAAGTAGAGGCAGCATGCTCCACCTAAAGTATGGCGAAAAAAAAAAAAGAGAGAGAGAGACAGAAAGAAAATAGAAAATTAGGGAAACTGCGTCTACCATAATGAATACTTCAATCTCAGACCCATCAAGGTCAGGGGGGAAACGTATCATTAAGCATATCATGTGGAATCAACACCACCCATTTTAGTACACTCTATGTACTTGTATTGGCCAATTTTCTGAAAGAAGAGATTGGACAGTATTACCTGGTTAGATGATAGCCAAGAGCCAAGGGTTTAAGTTTGGGCTCTAACAAACTCTGGCATTGGCTTTGGACAAGTCAGATAACTCCTGTGAAGATTAGTGTTCATTGTGAACAGTTGGGAGAATTAATACCTCTCAGGTTTTGTGGCATTTTAATATTATGTGCTGCTGAGTCTGATTTATGTGTAGCAGATAAATTTGGCAGATTCTTTCTTTCATTTTTCTTACTACTCTGTACTCATGTACCTAAAAATATTCATTATCAAAGGTGGAGAGTGGGATATAGAACAATAACAAAAAACTACTCAAAAATTATTTGGCAGTACTGGGGATTGAACCCAGAGCCTTATGCATGCTAGACAAGCACTCTATCACTGAGCTACATCCCCAAGCCACAAATGGATTTTTGAATGGATTCTTTAACTACATGGCATACATCTTTAGTTCTAATGGTCAATGCTCTTTCTATTTTTAAGCCCAATCTACTCAGAAGGAGAAAATGTCTACAAGGTTTCTAAAAACCTAGTGTTGCTTCTTAGGAGTAGAGAGGCACTCAGAATAAAGGTATATAGCTCTGCTTTATCAAAATGTTGGTCAAGGCCACAAGCAGGTCAGGAAATCAATTTACTGGATCTAAATCAGCATTATTTTTTTTCTAATGAAATGAAATGAGTGCACTGCAATTAGTTAGAATGCTTAGAGTGTGATTTTTTAGGTTAATATGAAAATGTATTTCTCACCTAAGTTTTATACTGAAACATTTTGAAAAAATATCAGATTAGTTTATAAACCACAGAGGGTGAAAGGAAGAAGTATGCTTACATAAGCTCAGTTGTCCAGAACTTTGGATAGGCATTTATGAGGTGGAAGAAATAGCTTAGAGAGGATTAAGCAACTGTTGTCCCTGAGTCCATCTTTCTTCCACTGAAGCTTTGATACCCAGAGAAGTGGAGTCCAGAATAACCACCAAATATTGAGAATATGAAGACAGAAAATTTCCATTCCATATCTGGATTTCTAAAATGAGGCCGACTAGCAGTATGATGCTTGCTAAAAGGAGCCACTGTTTTTAGGTATAAATTACAACTGGAAAGTCTAGGCAGAAAAGTGTCTTGAGATTCATGCCCACTCCATCATCTTTCCTGGAATGCTGTAGGACATGTTGAGGATCCAAAAAGACTCTCCTAAACAGTGAGACACAAAGGGTAGGTGAAAATTAAGATATGGCATACCTGAAGGGTAAGTGGATGAGTTAGGGGAGGTATTGTACTGCATGAGTTTCCTAGAACAATCACTATACTCTGCTGACACTGAGAAGACAGATGGAAATTCATTCAAGCGGATAGGAGCCATAGACTATGCTCCCTCATTCAGGGTCAGGGAGATAAAATATCAAGACCATTAGAACTAAAGATGTATGCCATGTAGTTAAAGAATCCATTCAAAAATCCATTTGTGGCTTGGGGATGTAGCTCAGTGATAGAGTGCTTGTCTAGCATGCATAAGGCTCTGGGTTCAATCCCCAGTACTGCCAAATAATTTTTGAGTAGGTTCCGGAGCACCCCACTATTGCTGGAAATTCCTAACAAGATATCCTTTAGCCGTCCTGACTTGTCATACTCCCACACAGTGAAGCAGCACACGGGGGCAATGCACTCCCCTCGCCAGAACCTGGAGGAAGGATTTCCATCGCACGAGGATCGGCTACGGGGACTCAAACGCGAGAGGTTTGTCGCACGGAGGGTAAAACTGCTTATTCAGCAAATCGCCCCGCGGCTAGAGTCTGCAACGCGCACTGGGATAGAGACGCAGGGTTACAGCGCTGCAGTTTCTGCCAGCCGTGCAAGCACCGCACTCAGGGCTGAATTCTGGGTTCGAGACGGGGGAAGGAAGCGGTCCATCTCGGTTCTCCACACCGGTCAGACCACAGAGGAGGCCAGCAGCCACCATGTTGGTAAACTGACGTCACCTTCCCTGTTTTCGACTGACCGTAGCTCATTCAGCCATAGAACAGGTAATTTCAGGCTGCAATTCGCCTGCGGCTTGCAGACAGATTGCTAGGGTTCAGCGCCTGGGTGCTTCTTAGAATCTGATCTTATCGGAGCGAACACCGAGCGCGGGGCGGCCGAGTTCCGGCTCCCAGAACCGTCCCGGAACCGCCCTGGCCCAGGGCTGCGGAGCCTGCAGAGGCTGCTTCTTGGACCCTGTACTATCAGAGCATACACCAAGCACTAAGCAACCGAATTTCGGCTCCCAGAACTGAGCCCACGGGGACTGCTTCTTGGAGCTTACACTTATAGGAGCTTACACCGAGCACGGAGCGGCCGAGTTCCGGCTCCCGGAACTTCCCTGGACCGGGGCTAGGAGCCCGCGGAAACTGCGTCTCGGTCCGGGTCCTGCTAAGGGCCAGTCAGGACTCACCCGTTGTTTTGGTTGCCCGGCAAGGGGAACGAAATGCTGCCATTCGCATAGGATACCAACATGGCAGAGATCTGATGTCAGCAGAAAGCGGCGGAGGAGAGAACTTCATCAATACCAGTGGTGACATAAGCAGTTGGTCTCCTGGTAGGGGGGATAAGGCACAGTCACCCGAGTCTCCTCAGTTTGTCCTCGAGCCAGAGGGGAGGAACCGGGCCGCCGCCAGCGCCCGGAGCAGGCCCAGCGGCTCGCCAGCGTGGTGACCGCGTGACCCCAATTGGAGAGGGGGCGGAGCGGAGCCGCCACCCACACCCGCAAGGTGGGCAGACCCGCGACCCAGTGGTACATGGGCGTGGTAGGAGGGGCAGGGCAGAGCCGCCCTTCGCGCTTGCAAGGTAAACAGACCTGTGACAGCCTGGCAGGTCAGGCCCAGTGGCCTGCCAGTGTGGTACACACGTCACCCCAACTGGAGTAGGGGCAGAGCAGATCCTTCTCCCACGCCCGGATCAGGCCCTGCCGGTGTGGTGGTCACGTGACCCCAATTGGAGTGGGGGCGGAGCGGAACCGCCACCCGTGCCCGCAGGGTGAGCAGACCAGTGATCAACCTGCAGATCAGGCCCAGGGGTCCGCAGGCGTGGTAGGAGGGGCAGGGCAGATCCGCCGCCCAAGCCTCCAAGGTAGGCAGACCTACAACAGACCGGCGGATCAGGCCCAGGAGCCTGCCGGTGTGGTACAAACACCACCCTAATTGGAGTAGTGACAGAGCAGAGTCGCCGCCCGTGCCAAGAACAGGCCCAGCGTCCTGCAGGCGGGGTAGTCACGACACCCCAATTGGAGTAGGGGCAGAGCAGAGCCTCCACCCGTGCCCGAAAGGTGGGCAGATCTGCGACCGACCAGCGGGACAGGCCCAGTGGCCTGCCGATACGACAGACACGTCACCCCATTTGGAGTAGGGGCAGAGTAGAGCCGCCGCCCGCGCCTGCAGGGTAGGCAAACCTGCAACCGACCGGCGGATCAGGCCCGGTGGCCTGCCGGCGTGGTACACTCGTCACCCCAATTGGAGTAGGGGCAGAACAGAGCCGCCGCCAGCTCCCAGAACAGGCCCAGTGACCTGCCGGCGTGGTAGCCACGACACCCCAATTGGAATAAGGAGAGAGCAGAGCCGCCGCCCGCACCTGCAGGAAAGATACGCAAGCAGTATGAAAAGACAAGGAAAGAAAGGACCACAAGCAATGCAGGTCAAGGCAACTTTAGAAGAGGTAACAGCTGCAGCAGATGGAATTTCAGATAAAGAATTCAGGATATACATGCTTCAGATGATCTGGAGTATCAAGGAAGACATTAAACAGCAAAATCAGACAATGAAAGATCACTTCGACAACGAATTACGCAAACAAATCCAGGAAGCAAAGGATCAACTATACAGGGAGATAGAGGTTATAAAAAACAAGCAATCAGAAATCCTAGAAATGCAGGAATCAATAAACCAACTTAAAAACTCAATGGAGAATACTACCAGCAGAGTAGAACACTTAGAAGATAGAACATCAGACAATGAAGATAAAGTATTTCAACTGGAAAAGAACATAGACAGCTCAGCAAGACTGTTAAGAAACCATGAGCAGAACATCCAAGAAATATGGGATAACATTAAGAGACCAAACTTAAGAGTCATTGGGATACAGGAAGGTACAGAGCTCCAAACCAAAGGAATGAGCAGTCTATTCAATGAAATAATACGAGAAAACCCCCAGACTTGAAGAATGAGACAGAATCCCAAATCCTAGAAGCCTACAGGACGCCGAATGTGCAAAATCATAAGAGATCCACACCTAGACACATTATAATGAAGATGCCCAACATACAGAATAAGGAGAGAATTTTAAAAGCTACAAGAGAAAGGAAGCAGATTACATTTAGGGGTAAGCCAATCAGGATAACAGCTGATCTTTCAACACAGACTCTGAAAGCTAGAAGATCCTGGAATAACATATTTCAAACACTGAAAGAAAATGGGTTCCAACCAAGAATTGTGTATCCAGCGAAATTAAGCTTCAGGATGGAGGATGAAATTAAAACCTTCCACGATAAACAAAAGTTTAAAGAATTCGCAGCTAGAAAACCATCTCTTCAAAACATCCTCGCCAAAGCATTACAGGAAGAGGAAATGGAAAATAACAATGAAAACCAACAGTGGGAGGTAGGACAGTAAAGGGGGGGGAAATAATCAAAGAGGAAAACAAACCATGTTTAGTAACAGAAATAAACAAATATGGCTGGAAGAACAACCCATATCTCAATAATAACCCTAAATGTTAATGGCTTAAACTCACCAATTAAGAGACACAGGCTAGTAGAATGGATCACAAAACAAGACCCAACAATATGCTGCCTACAGGAGACACATTTGATAGGAAAAGACATACATAGGCTGAAGGTGAAAGGTTGGGAAAAATCATATCACTCATATGGACTTCGGAAACAAGCAGGCATGTCCATACTCATATCAAATAAAATAGATTTCAAGCCAAAGTTAATCAAAAGGGATAAAGAGGGACACTACATACTGCTTAAGGGAACCATACACCAACAAGACATAACAATCATAAATATTTATGCCCCAAACAATGGTGCAGCTATGTTCGTCAAACAAACTCTTCTCAAGTTCAAGAGTCTAATAGACTACCACACCATAATCATGGGAGACTTCAACACACCTCTCTTGCCACTGGACAGATCTTCCAAACAAAAGTTGAATAAGGAAACTATAGAACTCAATAACACTATTAATAACCTAGACCTAATTGACATATATAGAGTATACCACCCAACATCAAGCAGTTACACTTTTTTCTCAGCAGCACATGGATCCTTCTAAAAAATAGATCATATATTATGTCACAGGGCAACTCTTAGACAATATAAAGGAGTAGAGATAATACCATGCATCTTATCTGATCATAATGGAATGAAACTGAAAATCAACGATAAAAGAAGGAAGGAAAAAGCATACATCACTTGGAGAATGAACAATAGGTTACTGAATGATCAATGGGTTATAGAAGACATCAAGAAGGAAATTAAAAAATTCTTAGAGATAAATGAAAACACAGACACAACATATCAGAATCTATGGGACACACTGAAAGCAGTTCTAAGAGGAAAATTCATTGCTTGGAGTTCATTCCTTAAAAAAAGAAAAAACCAACAAATAAATGATCTCATACTTCATCTCAAAATCCTAGAAAAAGAAGAGCAAAACAAGTGCTGGCGAGGATGTGGGGAAAAGGGTACACTTGTACATTGCTGGTGGGACTGCAGATTGGTGCAGCCAATTTGGAAAGCAGTATGGAGATTTCTTGGAAAGCTGGGAATGGAGCCACCATTTGACCCAGCTATTCCCCTTCTTGGTCTATTCCCTAAAGACCTAAAAAGAGCATGCTACAGGGACACTGCTACATTGATGTTCATAGCAGCACAGTTCACAATAGCAAGACTGTGGAACCAACCTAGATGCCCTTCAATAGACGAATGGATAAAAAAAATGTGACATTTATACACAATGGAGTATTACTCTGCATTAAAAAATGACAAAATCATAGAATTTACAGGGAAATGGATGGCATTAGAGCAGATTATGCTAAGTGAAGCTAGCCAATCCCTAAAAAACAAATGCCAAATGTCTTCTTTGATATAAGGAGAGTAACTAAGAACAGAGTAGGGACGAAGAGCAGGAGAAGAAGATTAACAT